TTTTAGTTAGTTGGTTATGTATTTTTTAAATAAAAAAAAATTTTGAATTTACTTACTTGTAGCCGGAGTTAGAGGCGGTCGAATACTTATGACCGCTACTGTAACTATTTATTAATTACTTATTAATTAAGATTAATATTAAGAATTTAAAAAGTCCTATCACTAAATGACATTACAAAGTTACTTCAATATTTTCTATTAGTTTCATTTTTACTTAGCCAGCTGGCTCTTTCTTACGTATTACTTTACAAAAATATAATAAAGATTTCATTTCAAAATTTTAAAACGTATTGTAAATTTTACAAGTGATAGTATATTTTATATAATCTATAGCATTATACTAACAAGTTATAAAAAAATATAAAATTTACTAAATCATTAAAAAACACTATTCTATATTAATGAAAAAAATCTTATTTCTGTTGCTTGTCTAACCTTCCACTATAATTGATGATAATATTAATCACATTTGCATTTGTGAAAAAGAAGGAATAGTTGAGTTACAGGTTTGAAAATATTAGGTGTTTTAATGGTTAGTGTCATCAGTTTTAATGTTATAAGAGAATTTTGAAACTTGTAATAGTTTTAAATATTTTCTTAGGTGGTTTATTCAGTGATTTATTTAGTAGACACTCAAGTTTCTTCATTGATCATTTTGCTGTTACTTCAGATCTAAAGATCATAGACACTTCTGTGTCTGATGATGATAAACTTGCCTCACTTAACCTTTTATTTTCTTTATTGTGAGCTTATTCTAAAAATAAATTCACATTGTTAATAATATAGCTGAAGCATTTATTTTCTTCTAAAATATATACCTTAATTTAACTAAAATTTGCTAGAAAACTTTTCGTAAATTTCTTTATTAACTAAACTTCTTTTGATTCTAGTACCTTCTTTGTATTTTTCACTATCTAATGAAGTAATAATAAGTATATTTTGCTATTCAGATTTCTCATAGAACAAAAGCAATCACTACTTATATAAAAAGCTTTCATAAGTTGCAAAAACTTCTTATAGTAATCATCACCTATGAAATAGTTTGTTCTTTTCTGCTTATTAATTTTATTAGCAATATCCTTTCAAAAAAATTATTTCTTTTTATTTAGAATGATATGATACTCAGCATTTTTTTGTTTTTGTTCATCAATGAAAATGTGAAGTTGAGTATCAGACCATTTGATAGAAGACATTTTTTTACATAATGAGAAGTTTCTCAAGAAAATTGAAGTCTGTTTTATAGAGAAATATTGAATGATATGTTAGAATATTGCGAAACTAATTAATTTGATTAATGTAATAATTTAATTGAATAATAATGTTGACTTAACTATCATGTTAATAGATCAAGAACGGTAAGATCTGATTGGTTGATTATCTCATGATTTATAGAAACTCACTAGCTTCTGAAACTCTTCTATAAAACTAATGAGAAACTAGCAGAGAATTAGAAATATCACATGTAATACAAATTTTAGCTGAAAGTGTTATATATAATTTAACCATTTATGATGATCAGACTGAATCAAAAAATATGAATGTGTTTTCACCTAAACAATCAAATAAAAATGAACTGATATTTATTAAAGTATAATATTGTTAAATTAGCTAAAATCAATAAAAATATTATAAAATCAATAAAATTGTTATAATCTATTATAAATTTACCAAAATACTAATATGGATTTAAATAGTAAACCCTATTTAAAACTATATCAAGTAAGCTATAATGATAAAAACTATGAAAAATATAGAAGATTAGTTGATGCAATATAGCCTTTAACAAAAAGATGTGATCATAAAATACTAGAAATATGATGCTTCTATATTCGTAATCTATTTAGAAAAATACTTGAAGAACCTAAGAATTTTTTTTAAGAATAGATATATTACAATGTATGAAAATTTATATGAACATGATAAAGTCTATAGTTTTCTATCAAATTATATATATTGTAGTGTATGTTTTCATACCTGAAATATTTGTTTAGATAATCACTATTGAGATAATTACTTGAAAAGATGTATTTCTGAAAATATTATTTTGAATAAATATGTAAGAATAAATAAAATTCTTAAATTTATTGATATAGGAAAATTTTATATTTAGCAATATAAACAATAATGTAACAGGATTATCATAACATAATTGATCTATATAATGCATTATAAATAATTATATATATATATAATAAATATATTAAAAATTTAAAATATAATTTTTACTATTTATAAAAGAGTTTAATTACATCAGGATGTTTGAAATAGGTGTTTAATGTATTAACATATATATGGTGTTAATCAATGCTTAAAAGTGTTGCATAATGAACCCTTTGTCAATTAATATCATTCAAAAACATGTAAAATAACATAATTTAAGCGTAAAACAATATATATAGTAAAACAATATCATTTAAAAATGCATATAATAATGCTAATTTTAGTTGAGAAATGCAATTATCAATATAAATTTATTAATAAAAATATGCTAAAATATGCTAAAATACAATCATAATACATTTCTACACCTGATTACAATAAACAAATGATCATGATTATTCATCCAAAAAAATGGATTTATATAAGAAAAAGAATAAAAAAGGAAAAAAAAAGTACTACATAGCACCATAATGCATAATTTCAGTTATCATCACTGAAACTATCATTATCATTATAATAGTTATTGTTATTATCATTATTATAGTAATTGTCATCATATAGATTATTATGTATCAGTGCTTCATTATTAGACAAATAATCATAATTTTCTGAGCCCTGAATAAATTATTTTAATATTAGTAAGTTAATTAATTTCAAAAATACTAAATGCTTAAATATTTACCGCTTCTACGTCTATTAAATTTTCAGTCTAAAATTTAACAATATCTAAATTAATTTTCGTCGAAAGGTAATTCTCATCAAATATAACCTTTAATACTGATTGAGTCCAAATAACATTTGTTTGTGTATGCTTTTTTTTAGATGTGAAAATAGATTTAATAATTAATATGATATAAATATTAGATGATAGATCATTTGGATTACTCAGCATGTACAAATTCTCATAAACTTTTCTAACACTTTCATTCCCTTTTCACATTCTCATCTGCTTCTTACTAAAACTATCTCCATAGGGCTTTATTCTGTTAATTCTGAAAGTACTCTATAGACTCTTCTTTAATCTTCTTATATAATACCCTTTCTTTATACGATTTGCATAAAGAAGCTAATATATTAAAAATGTTAAATAAATTAATAAAGTTATCAACTGATAAAATTATATTGTATAAAATAAATACTACTTACACTTGAAAATAATTTTTCATTCTATAATTGATTAAACGAAATACCTTTATGACATAACATCTGAAGTTATTCAGCAAAATCTTTGTTATTTTCTAACTTATCTTTGAGACGCATTTTCATTTGTATGTCATTTACTTATTGATGCTTATGAAATAGTTTATAAGCAAGTTTTTGATTGCATCCTATAATACAAGTAATTATATAGTACTAAAATAATATAAAAAAATGATATAAATTATATTTACTTGATAAAATTCTTCTAACTTTATCCCTTTATTTTTTCCTTTGCCTTTACTATCTTTCACTTTAATTTCAGTCAAAGTATCTAGATTTTCTAATTTTGACATTATTTTTGCAATCTAACCCTTTTGTTCATTCATTATAACTTCTAGTCTTTCTTGATGTTCTATCACTAAATTAAGTTTTGATGAGTTACTTTAACCAATTTTAATTAATTTAGTCAATTCACATGAATCATTAGCTGCTACTAAATTATCATTGACATTAAATTATTTATAAACAGCAATAAATACTAGTATAGATTTTATCTAACCTTAATCAGCTATCGCTTTGGATGTCATCATCACTTTAGATACCATTACCATTAATGATACTGTCACTTTAGATACTGTTGCTATTGATGATGCTATCGCTTTAGATGCCGTTGCTATTGATACTGTTACTTTGTATACTATTACCTTAGGTGCTGTTACAGCTTTAGATGCTATTTTGTCAAATAACATATCTTTATATATTGTTATTTTAATAATAGAAGAAGAAAAGTTATCACTACTAAAGGAATGATAGAAAATGATAAAGGTGTTATTAGTGATTCACTTGTTACTTGACATTAAAACATAAATATATTTAAATAAAGGTATAAAATAATAATAATAAATAATATAAAATGCAATAAATATTACTTGAGTAATAGTATCATCATTTTTATTATTAAACAAATTTAATCTCTTAATTTTTATCTTTTTTGGTATTGAGATTACGTCAATATCTATTAATAATGATGTATTTTTTAGGCATTTAACTAAATTTAAATAATATAAAAATTTTTATACCAATTTGTTCAGTAATCTAAAGAATAATATTATTATTATATAAGTAAACTTAAATAATTACCATGATTTATAAATGATACATAATAAAATTAAAATAATAGTTAACTACCTTTTTTTCGTACTCATTTATCTTATTCTTGAACGCTTTAAAGCATTAAAATTCAGATTAAATTTATCTTTATTTTTATCGTCATTCATTGTTAAATTCACACAAGAAAAAATATATGTTAATTATAGTTGTGAGAAAAATAAGAAAGAAAAAAAAAGAATATTGATATTTCTCAATTCTTTTTATATTATTGAAATTATTAAATGTTATAATGTCATTAGTGTATTTTATTGAAATATTACAATGACTCACCTAAGTTTGAATATTCAAATAACGATTAAATTAATATGATAATTATGCTGCATTTCTATTTGACAAAGAAATTATTTGATTCAATTAATTGATTTTAGCATCATATACTTCCATTTGATAATTAGACTAAAATTAGACTAAAAATCAATTAAATCAATCAATGATTGAAGTAAAATCAGCTATTTAAGCAAGATCAGACTTAAAATTAATTAATATAATTACAAATATATTACTTTATAATTGCATTGTTAAATATTAATATAAGATGAACTTGAGTATACTGATATTTTTCATTTGTGAAATAATAAATATATTTTAAAAGCTTACAAAAATGATTTTTCGATGTGAATATTGTGAAAGAGAATTCTCCCATTACACTTCTTTATAGAATCATATAAAGATGTATAATAATGTAATTAATAAAATTTTACATGAAATTTCTAAAGAAAGTATCTAACCAGAACAGGTTAGAGATATCGAAAGAAATAACAAAGAAAAAGACCAAGAAAGCGAAGAAATAATAATAATTAATGAAGAAGAAATCCAACTAGAAAATATGAATGAGATGAACTATGATTATAAGGACTAACTAGAAGAAGAGTTAGTTAATGTCTATAAAAAAGACATCTTTGAAAAAAAGTTAGCTGGCATATGTAAAAAGAGTTGGTTAATATTGATGATGATGATGATCAGGTATGTTTATATTACTTTAGTCATACAAATATGTTAATATATATTTATTGAATTAATATATTATCTAATATGCTATTAATATACTAGACGATAAACAAAATAAGAAATATTGAAGTTAAACATATGATAATTGATGTTGAATCAACTCTAGTTTTTAATTCTCTTGATGTTAGTAGCTTAGCAACAAATCGTCTAGAATTTCCAAGTAAAGAATTTGGAGATTTTATGAAATTACTCATTAAATGGAATTTGTTAGATATATGTGATAGTGATATACTCAAATTTTCTTAAAAAATTTGTTATGATGATGTAATTTTACCAACTTCAACAAAGCAAGGATGTCAATTAATAGATCAGATAAATGTACTGCATATATCCTTCAAAAAAACATCTATAATATTATACGATGATGAAACATACTACCTTTATCATCATTATATTTTTGATGCTATAAAGGAATTGTTAGGAAATCAAAGTATATCTCAATATTATGTCTTTAAATTTAAGACGTTGTATTATAAAGGTCAGAGGGTTTATTATCAACAATATAATGAGGAATGGTAAGAAAGAGTATAATAATCAATTCCTGATGATATAACAGTCTTATTAATCATATTATACTCAGATGTAATAACTTGCGACTATCTGAGTAAAACTAACAAACATCCCATCTATTTGATATTAGGAAATATTCCTAGCTGGATTAGGAATAAACCTAATGTCAAGGTTCTTTTAAAATACCTTTCACAATTAAAAGCAAGAATCATCTATAAAAAAAGATCTAAAGACTTTCAATTAGCAAAACGTAATTTTATTAACATTTTTTAAATATTCTAACAAAGCCACTACTTGACTATGAAGCTAACAATTTTGACTTACAAATAGATAACAGTGAATTATGGTGTTTTTTATTTATTTTTGCAATGTTAGGTGATCTTTCAGAAAATACAACTGTAACATTGACATTTAATTCCATCAATTGCAAATATCTATATCATAAATATTTGATAAAATCGATGAGCTAAATAATATAACATTAGGTAATGATTAAATTGTTTTAAGAATACTGAAAAATATGAAAAAATGTGTTAATATAGACATTGCAAATCAATATTCCTTGCACAATATGAAAAATATTTTTTGGAAACACCTGTAAGTATATTACATAAATACTATCAAAATTCTTGTGATAATTATAATATTTAGCGACATAACTAAACTTATATGCACTTTATTATTTAATAATGTATAATCATTTGAATATTTATCTGGAAATAATTCCTGATTGCATGCATTATCTTAACTTGAGTTTGTTCAACTACCAAATAATTTTACAAGGAAACTATTTAAAGAATTATGTAATCAAGTAGCAATTACTGAACTTGATAATCATTTATCATCAATTCTGAGGTTTTTAGATCTCAAAATATTTAAAAACAGCCTGAAAAATATCAAATGATTTACTGCAAATGAATTTCAAAATATGATAAAAGTGTTTCTCTTTGTAATTGAAGGAATAATAATAAAGCATCATAAATAATCAATAAAAATAAATAATGCAAAATGATACGATAATGCATTGGTTAATGTCTATTATCGTTAAAATAAAATGTATTTATATAGTCGACAAAAATGCTTTTCAGAGTCAGATTTAGAAAAGTTTGAGATATAACAACACGTTTATGTTTCTTAAGTTATTAAATGTCAATTAACGCATTTACTTTACTGTGTAGGAGTTAATTTCAAATTGGACAACATCTTTTGTAAATCTCTTTAGAAGTTATTCACAGTCAGAGCTTAAATTGCTAAAATTGCACAATTGATGCTATCATATTATAGTAACAATTAAAGAATATGATGCAATTAATGGGTTTATAATAGAAACCTACAAATAATTACATAAGGATTTCATTAAAAAATCATATAAAGCCAGTAATAAATGTAAAGTGACTGATCAAATGATCAAAATGGTTAGTATCTTAATATATGAAATTATAATTTGACGAAAATTATCATATTTAATTTTAGCATATTTTATATTTATAGATTTACTGAAGCTCAATAATTAAATATTTGTGTCAATGTAATGTTGGTGTTAATCGATGCCATCAAAAAATTTTAAGTGATTTGTTAGGTAAATTTCCTTTAAGAGATTTTGAAAAGTTTTTTGATGAATACAAAGTAAAAAATATCTTAGCCTAAGAATCTTTGATAACCTTAAAACATTTTATTTCAGCGTTAAATGAATTTCTTGATTTATATGATGATTTGACTGAAGAAATAGTCATTAATAATACAGAAATTAGTTGGTATGATCATGCTATTGTGGCTTCTAGTGATTATATTAGAGCGAAGAGTATGTATTATAATGAATTATCATTTAGTGATGTATCTATTAATAAGAGTGGAGAAGAAATTAGAGAATATAATATAGACAAAGATGCATGTTTCGGTAAGGTATGTATTTTACTATTAAATAAAAATTTTGTATCACATTAATCAAAAGATTATAAACTTAGTTGTTTTATATTTAGGTTCTTATATTGATTAATGTTGAAATTCAAAATTATTCGTTTAACCTTACACTTATACAATGGTATGATTTTGCTATAAAAATGATAGATGACGTTTATATAAATATGATTGTTTCTTGTTAAAAATCATGAATACATACAATTTTGTATTAGTAGAGTTAATTATAGAACTAATATAGGTAATTAAACGTGCTGAATAATAAGATGAATACTTTGTAAATATATATATATTTTAAAACATATATTAGTTTTATTTTTATTACATATATTACAAAAAATATATACTGTTAATATTTAGGTTATACAACACTTTGTAATATATATTTATGTTAAAAAATACATTTACTAACAGTATGTATTAATAAATACTATTATACAGCATTGTTTAATATCATGTATCATGTTAATCTATAAGTTTGTATTGTATAATGTGTATATCAGTATAAATAATTGCCTTTAAAATATGCTGATGTATATTTATAAGTATTTTTTAATAAAATTAAAAAGAAAATTTTATTTGTAATTAAATATATATATATAATTTATTAATTAGTTTAGAACATAGTAAAAGACTATATAATTTTATATATAATAATATAAATGTATATCTAAATATCTGTTCGCTTAATAATAGAATCAATATTAATTAACTTATAATTATATAAAGTCTAAATAAAAAGTGAATTTTTTTAGTTAAGATTGTTTTAAACTTAACAATAATTTCTATTTTTTAATATTATATAAATATTATATATAAAATTAAGTATTTTAAATAAAAAAATTTAATTAAATATTAGAAAATAGTAACTATTAGAATATTTGAAATATTAATTATAATGTAAATATAGTACAGTCAACTCTTATTATAACGAACTCTATGTCTTAGACCTCAACTTCGCTATAAGGCTATAGTGAAGATTTTAAGAGATTTGATTAGCCAATTCGCTATAACAAGAGTAT